GAAGGGAATGATCACATCGGTGATGGGATCGTTCACGTTCTCTCGAGCTCGAGAATTGGGCACCTGTGGTGTGAGTAAGACATTGTGGAAATCATTTCTAATGTTATTTTGAAATACAGCGTACAGTCATAGCTTATATATCATATGATATTATATATCACATATTATAGCTGTGGACACTTTTTGTCGACAGTATCTCAGAAGTTGCCGCGTTTAATAGTTAAATTGCGTCGCTTTTGAGCGAAATTTAAGCCAACTTTATTATAAAAAGCTAATTGACGGAAAATTTCATTTTAACAAATTATTTTTCTAAATAAACATCATATCAGTGTGGATAATGGAGGTGAAAGGATATTTTAAGAGATGAATGTCGCATTCATCTCTCTCGAGATTGAGCAAGTTGAGATCATTCAGCTGAAAATTAAAAAAATTAAACTAAAACATTTTAAGATAAATAGTTTTTCCTTAATAGACTGTATATTTTCAACTTTAACTTTAAAGTTGAATTGGCTTGATTACTTCTGGTTGTGATGGTTCTGTACTTCATCCAAGCCAATTTATCCAATCCAAAAGCGATAATAAATAACAAAGTTTACCGATTAAAAAATGCCCTAATGAATGAGTTTGAGTATACGAGTCTAAATGTAACAAAAGTATAATTTCAAGAGTAATAATTTCAGTTCGGCTTATTATAATAACATTTTAATGCTTACGTACATATTTTTTTCACAGATGGAGTGTCATTGGTGGTGTACACAAGTGAATTTAACAAGTCTGAGCTATAATATATTTACTCCAGATGAATTAAAAAACTTGTTCGACAAACGTGATACTTATGAAAATGAGGATTTCTCTTGCGACTGTGAGAATCTCATGGATATTTTAAGATCAAATGTTTCCTACCAGAGTTTACCCATGAATTATGATATCCATTTTGACGATAAAGTCAATATGAAAGTTAGTGCAGTAAAAGTTGCTACAAATATTTTTGAGCGAGGTAAGATTTTTACAAGAAAATAGACTGGTTAAATTAAAGACCCTCCCTTCTGATATTCTTTATTATTGTGATAATAATTTCTGACAATGATCCTGCAGAAAATGGACCCTGACTTGGACAAGACAACCTTGCAATTCTGCCACTAACATTTTGGTCGGGCATGTCTTAAACATGTTTGTTTATATTTAATTAGCAAATACTTCAATTGATGAAAGCGTTCTCTTCAGTACCTAATCTTAATGTGCATAGAAAAAAATATTTTGAGCGACTAGCTATACTACAGTTAGAAGCTAAGTTATAGAAAAACACAAGTACAAAACTAACTGAAGATGGGTCGGTCTCTTGGGTGCCTCGAAAGACGAAGAATCGTATCCAAAAGCGGTTATTTAGTAAATACTATTATTATGTATTAACTGAGACATTGTAACTTCATAAGGCCATTTTTTTCAAAATTACGTATTTAATAAAATCGCGTTGTTTGTTTGTTTTCCCAAACAATGATTTTCAATTGTATTTGGTTTCCTTTAGATATGTCAGTGCTTGAAGGCATTCGATGGTCGGAATCATTAGATCTAGTGTTCAAGAAAAATGCTCTTAACGATCCCGATTTGGTCTGGCAATATTTTGCCAGTCCTGATGGTTTCATGCGTCACTATCCAGGTAAATATCTATAATATAAAAAAACTAACTTCAATTGTCATAAATTTATAAAGCATTACAGTGGATATAGACTTAATATGGAAATCCTATCAAAAGAGAGAAAGAGCCTTCTGCCTCTTTCCTTCCTTAATATTAAAATATGTAATCTGTAATCTAATTGACGTAATTTCATTTGTAATTGTCATGTAACAAGTAAACTGAATTAATTAAATAAATATTGTTAGAATTTACTTTTCTCTCAGATCAATTGAAATTATTCTAATTACAAAAATATTCAGTAATAATTAATACGTTTTTTCTAACAATTATAACAGTCATTACCTTACTTACTAGGGGTTTGAATATTCTATCTATCTATCTATCTAATTAACCTTCTTCGGCCCATTCTTGGACATAGGCCTCTCCCAGTATTTTCCACTTTCCCTGTTTCCCGTTAAAATGAAGAAAAATAAAATAATTATTTAATAATACATAATTGACTTTACATCAGCATACATCATAATTCATTAGCATCAGATTCTGTATCGGTCTTTTCAAGAGTTACATATACAACATTTTCTAATTGCCTTATTAACATTAAGTATTTTTTGCAGCCGTAAAATGGTCAGAAGAAAGATACGATCAAACGTATGATTTTAGAACTAGGTCCTGGTTTACCGAAGCTATGACATCGCCAAAAGATATAATTATACTACTGGACAGATCAGGATCCATGAAGGGCAAAAAACGAGAACTATCACATCAGATAGTCAATGATATTTTAGATACATTAAACGACAACGATTTCGTGAATATTTATACGTTCAACAACGTTAGTGAACCGCTAGTGGATTGTTTCAATGATACACTATTTCAGGTAATACGAAAAACATCATTCTCAGCTAACGATATTCTGCGGGCTAATTCAGCAGCACCTACCTATTTAACCTAAAGAAATCTGTCTTTTAGGCAAACGAAGAAAACTTGAGGCTACTACGAGAATATTTACCAGTTTACGAAATAAAGCGAGTTGCTAATATATCTGCGGGATTGGAGAAAGCATTTGAAATACTAGCGCATTTCAGACGTACCAATCTGAGTAAGTTTCGATTTTAACATTGGAAAAAGTCTAATGCATAACTTGTATTCACGTAAAGCATTTATATATAGTCTTTACTTTCATATATTTTCTTTGCTCAATACTTTGCTCTGGATACGGAGCAAGCCAATGCGAACTCACTCGATTTTTACTAGATATCCCAGAAACCAGACAATATGTGAAATAAAGCGTGGAAATCGAATCAGGAAATAGATTTGTGTAGGTGTTTTATTGAAATACATTTGTGTTGTTGAAGTTATATACATATACATAATATACGGGTATACACAGTCGATCTCTTAAGATGCGCCGGTTTTCCGCCGTTTGCTGAAGGCAATTCCGGTTGCACAATTGATCGCTTGGGCATCTGACGCCCGCGCATTTTAGACTTGTTGGGCGATGCGGTGGAGATGAGTGAGACGATCGCCAATGCCATATTGTGAGCGATCTAGATTGCGATGATACTCTAGTTTTTAAATACTATTTTGGTTTTTAAAAAATAGATGGTAACGTCGATGTATTGAACAGTGTTAATTGGGATAATTCAGACTAGGAATTAGATTTGAACATACCACAACGGTACATAAAGAAAACATTAACAAGCGTGATATGCAATTAAAATAATCGTATTATTTTCAGGTATATTCGAGATATGGAAAATGCCTTAGCGAAATTTACTGAAGCCGATTCTCGAAAACGCTTTCGATTCTCAAAGGAAATTGTGCTAAATGTTTTGTTGCCATTAGTCACCACCAGGAACGAATCATAAATCGAGCCCTTCATGTTCTGCATAGATTTACGATTAGATATGATAGATTTGATAAATAGGAACATTTTCTGCCAACTCTTTGATAGTGCCGATACAAACCATACCGCGGCATAGCGGCCCATTTCCAGCTGCACCCGAAAAAATCCTCTTTTTGCAGTCAGTTGACCGAAAAATGTGGCAACTATAAGTTGAATAAATTTAGTCGATTATTAGACATAGTAGTAGAAAATAAAATTATTTAAGTTTAAGTCGATCAATTTGAAATTTGTATGCAACGGCAAACTATCAGAACGATTCGATGTCCCATCCCTAGCCCGTCCTCTAAATCTGAATATTAGTGTATAAGTGTATTTTCCAACAATCGAAGCGCCAGACGATGAGATAGAAGAATGCTATTCTCAATTAGAACAACGTTTGGAGACTCTACCAAATCGAGAAGCCACGGTGATATAGGAGACTATAATGACAAAATTGGAAGAGAACCTGGAGATGAACATATACGCAAAGTGATCATGGAAAATACAGTCTGGGAGAATGAAACACCAGAGGAGAACGATTGCTGCAATTCTGCTTTAAGTTATTACGAGCAAAGGATATGAACATCATGCAAGGCGACTATACCTCTGGGCGTCACCTGGAGGCCTAGATAAAAATCAGCTGGACTACATCTTAATAAAATCCAGGTGGAGAACTCCAATCAGGAATACCAAGTCGTACCCGGGAAAACATTGCCATAGTGATCAACAGTTTCTTGCAGCACAGCTCCGAATAAATTAGGCAGATCGCAGCCTACCAACACCTTTAGAAACTTGTGGAGTCTTAACATAACGAAAATTTCAAAACAAGGGCAAACATAGAAGTCTCAAAATTAAAGGCACATACGCGAGTAGACAATGACTCGAACTCATTGTGGAACAAAACAAAAACACGACAGCAAGATCTTGTTAAAGATAATATCGGAACGCACATAACATTACCTGCTGCCACAAATACCACCAGAACAATCCAGATTTTCCCAAGTCGTGGAACCAGAGAACAGATACGAAACCTCCGACAAATAATTGAAAAATCTAGGGAATTCATTGTGCCTACCTACCTATGCTTCATAGCTTACTCTAAACAAACTCTTACTCTAAAGCATTTGATTGCATACGATGGCAAAATTTATAGACTATTTTAACTGAAATGGGAGCTTCTCACCACTTAATATCGTTCGTTCAAAATGTATACGACTATAGCACAGTATACGTCAGAGTAGAGAGAGATCTGACCAATCGATTGAGAGTGTGTAAAGGAGTTAGGCAGGGTTGCATCATGAGGAAAGCGCTGGATGACTGGCATGGAGAAATCACCATTGACGGCAACAAAATCTGCAACTTGCGCTACGCCGATGATACGATTCTAATCGCTGCAACAGAAGAAGAATTGATCAATTTTATACGAAGAGTCGAAGAAACAAGCAAGAAAGTAGAGCCTGCAGATAAACAGAATGAAAACCAAAATAATGATAATTGACCGTCAAAATAATAACAGACCTGAACTAAAGAGGAAACACAACATCGAGACACTTGGCGCCTTCATATATCTTGGTACCACAGTCTCGAGCAAACGCGGATCCATCACGGAGATAAAGAGAAGCGCAATAGCGAAACAATCCATGACCAAATTAATCAAAGTATGGAAAAGCGATCACATATGCCTCAACACCAAAATGAGATTAGTCAGAAGCTTGGTGTTCTTAGTCTTTCTATATAGATCAGAATGCTAGACTTTAAAAAGGCGGATAAGCGGATGATAGATGCCTTCGAAATGTTAGGTTGGCGCAGAATACTGAGAGTATCAGGGATTGAGAAAAGAACCGACCAATCCATTCTGGACCAACTCAGAACTAAGAAGAGATTCAGCATTTTTGGGGTCGGAGAAAATAGCTAAATTCTTTGGTCATGTTGTCAGAAGAAATCGTCTTGAGAGACTCACTTTAGAAAGGACAGTCCCTGGCAAAAGATCAAGAGGAAGGTCGCCCACCAGATACATGGGTCGTATAACCGGTCTAACCGGCAAAAACCTCACCCAAACATTCAAGATGGCAGAAGATAGACATGAATGGAAAGTCATCACAGAAAACAAAACATGAACTCATGATGCTCGAAACCGAGCAAACGTTTCAGAACCGTGATATTGCGCATGCTCATTCTATGGGAGAATTGTCGGCCATTCCATCCAACGAAGAACAACTCCGCATCAGAAACGTAAGGGAATATGTACTGTCATTAGAAGTACTTGCGTGCCTCAATCAGATATTTTACCTAAATTGGATAAATACTTAGTTATGAAGGGAAGGCGGAACAAAAATCTTATTTTTAACAATATTTTTTAGGGAAAATGTTGGTATCATGTAGCGGCAATATCCTAACTTGTTCTATCTATCCCTAAAGTTAGCAATATTGAACCTGAATTACCCTGTATGTAGATGTACGCATATCACTGACAACTTTTATGCATGCGATTGATTTATATTTACTTAAACATGTTCTGTAAAGGGGATCTATGCATAATGTAAAATATTTAGAACATCTGTTCTGTTTAGGTGCCAATTGCAATCAAGCCATAATGCTTATCACGGAAGGGATCGATTACGATTATGATGTTTCAATGTTTAATAATTCCAATTGGGCCAAAGATTTTCCAGTACGAATTTTTACGTACTTGCTTAGTACTGAAAAGGAAGACGAAAAGCAAATGGAGTTTATTGCCTGCTCAAATATGGGTTAGTTTAAAATTTCACAATTTGCTACTTTGCAGTATTTGGAAGCTTACCTCTTCTTGTACTGATGAAAAAACGTACTGCATAGGTTCAAGCTTCATTTCAACATGGGTGATAATGGGTAATTGCTCTAACTAAACATCTTTAACTCAATTCCAGGATATTACGTAAACATGACCACAAAACCTGATATTAGAGAAAAAATATTGAAGTACTTAAATGTCATGTCTCGACCAATCAATTTTGAATGTGATGATAAACAGATCCCAATATGGAGTTACTTGTATGTTGATCTAGCTGATAGAAGACTTTCTAATTGGTTATGGACAAAGTTTGAAGGTATTCGACAACGCGAAGTCTTTCTGGATCACGTAAAGAGGAGAATTGATCTACAACAGCTTAGACATAACAGTTTAAATCATATGCTTCTGCAAGAAACCCATGTAAGGCACACGTTTTTAGCTGCAACTACCTGCAGCATTAAACCAAATTAATTATTATTTAAAACATTTATTTTATATCATAAGTAGTAGAATAATTGCCTTGGTTACCAATTGGGGGAATAGGAGATGGGCTACTTGAACGTATTTACTTTTTAGGATTACGAAAAATATGAAGAGAAGAAAAACTATAAATATATGACAACAGTATCTTTACCTGTTTATGGCCGCAGAGATAATGAGGTAACGCTTATAACATGGAAAGATGTTAAAACAAATCCATACTGTTTAATATATCAGCAGATATTTAGAAACTTAATAAGCTGATAGATTCTTAGTTGATCTATTTGTTTATTAATGTGAAAAACATTTCAGTACAAGTTAACTGGAGTGGCTGGTATTGACGTTCCAATTTCATTTTTCAGAGCATTAATTCCACATGATAAGGTAAGTTAGTTGCAAAAAACATGATTAATAGCATTTTTTGGCATATTTGCAATTTTTTGTTGACTCATTTGTAGCTGTGTGAGTACACTGACTTGTAGTGGTTATCTATAATTCTGGCAAAATAAGCTAATCTCTTTCGAAGCAAAAGACGCAATTTAATGCATGTTTTTTTCAATTCCGAATTTTATTTGCTAGACGCCTATCAAGTCATAATTTGCGGTCCACCAAACGAGTTTTTTAAACCACCCTGTAAAACATGAGACAGAGAGAACAACAGAATCAAAACATTTTGTTTTCATTTGCAACGCTATTTTCATTTTCACTTTAAAAGTGTCATTTTGGTCAGCAATATTGATTTATTATGGGCTTCTAAAGCTGTTACCTTTTATCCTGCCGAGTAACAAATGCGCAAAAAGATCAGGTTGGTTCATTCGTAATCCGCATAAAGATTCTGATAATACGTCTTTCTTTAATACCACACCAAGCTCATACTTGAAACATAATCTTGTCTAAGACAGTCAAAACATAGCATATTTAATTATTTATGGGAGAAACAGATCCATCTTCGCTGATTCAAAATACATCTTATTTTACTGCATAGTAAAAAAGCAATGTTATATCGAAGTTTTCTATACAAAAGTTTCACATCGACCAATAATAGCTAAACGTGCAAAATTATTAAATTCGATTTATTTCATTTACATCTCAATTTTATTCAATTCTATTTAAATTTTATTTTTAATTTTCATATTTTATTTTTTTTTTTTGTGTTTTATTTATTTGAAGACCGGTAATATCAACACAGAAACTCAATATTGAGCTCCTATGGGACCCTACGATAAAGTTCCTATACAAAAATAGATTACAACAAGAAATCTAAGAAAATCCGATTTTAAATACTAACGACATCAATCTAGCTTGGGAAATAGTCAAGAATAATATCAAGAATTCGGCAAGGGAGGCACTTAGAGAACTTTGAGATGATATATTACTGAATGCTTTTTTTTTAGCAAGATATCGTTTTTGGCGTTGATGATGATGTTTATCATTTTATATTAAATATGAAAAATTACGAAATAGATATTTAAATATTGATTATTTGTTGTTACGAAATAAAATAAAAAATAATTGAACATATTATTAGATTAAAAGTTATTAATAATAGTTGTGACACTTTATTTGCACTTAATCTTGAGCGTTTTTCATAAATTGACCCAGCCTTCTTTAGAAAATATCCGCTCAACATCTGGATTAACAATTGTCTCCGATGAAAATCACTAAACAAGTAGGTAGTAATACTTTACTAGTTCGGAACTTTGAATCGTGCGATACAATGCAAATGGACATCATCTGGGCAGCATCTGGACTACAGACGTAGAGTAAGACATAGGGAATCGGTACCGAGATTCTATCGATACGATTTTATTTAATTTAATCTTTTCTTGGTACGAATTTGCGTCCGCAATTAATCAGGTCAGATTTAAAATAGGTCCAACCGTTTTTCAAAAACTTTATTGTAGTGGATCGTATGTACAATTTTGTTGCACAACATCGATTGTTAGTTCTTAAAACAACATTTAACAGTACACGGCAATGGGCAATCTCATTTGCAATGATAATTACCCGATCGTTTGAACACGATTTCCAAAAGTTTGTAATACATTTTTCTGCAAATATATGGATTATTAATTGGTTGATTCATTGTTATCAGCGTTATAAAATAAACTACACCGAACACAATCATATCACACTCAATAATTAATATATCAAAATCACTGTCCGTTTATTAACCCAATCTGTGTTTGCAAAGTTTGTCAGATCTGCAGATGCACCCGCACTAAGAGAAAAATGTCGAATTCAAAGTGCATATGTGCGTCCCAAGCCTCAGGCGCGAAGAGACCGGAGTGTGAGCCGCCGNCGGCTCGCCGTAACCGAGAAAAATCGGTTCGCCCTCCCATAAAAAATTATCACTTCACAAACGATCGCTGGGAAATGTTCTCCAAACGTCAGGAAGGTCATTTCTACGGGCTTTAAAACCATATATGGGGATTCATAACTGCTATAACCAACCCACATAAAAAAGGAAGAGTAGATCAGATATTTAACCGATCTGTATAAAACGACAAACATTGCAGACGAGCCTACCATAGCAGAAATAACTATTAACGAAGATGCCACGATCAATACATCTGACGTAAAAAACGCTCTACAGAAACTGAAAAATAGAAAAAGCGCCGGGAAAGACGGTATTCAAAATAAATTGCTCAAATACGGTGGGCAAAGACTAACAGAAGAATTAACAACGTTAATACAGAAAATTATATATCAACACAAAATCGCAGATGAACGGCGAACCAGCACTACTGTGTTAATGTTCAAAAAAGGGAACAAGAGGATACCATTAAATTATAGAGGAATAAACCTTTTAAGCAACAATCTTACATCGTTGGCGGACGAACAACAGGGATTCAGATCGGGAAGATCTTGCACAGACGCCGTGTTCGTATTAAGACAAATAGTCGAAAAGTCGATTGAATACAACCAGCCGGCGTTGATATGTTTTATTGATCTAATCAGAGCATTTGACCGTGTCAAGCTGAAGACGTCCTGCATCTCCTTTACAACAGGCAAATCCAACACAATCTGATTAAAACCATAGAGAACATATATACAAACAATAAAATACGAGCGCAAATAGAAGGAGACCTTACAGAACCAATACCGAATCACCGAAAAGACACTGCTGGATAGAGAGAGGGAAACGAGAATGTTAGAATAGCCTGTAATGTCAAGAACATCAATGAATGGGTAGCAAACAGGACGAAGGAATGGAATAAGTACATAAGCAGGATGGACCACCGCAGACTTGTGAGAATCGCTCGTGACAACTCCCATTGGGACGAAGAGACGTTGCGCGCCACAGGAAACGATGGAGCGGCAGCCTCACCCAAGTGAACGATAATTGAACAGGCGATTCGCCTAAAATAAAGAATGAAGGAGAAGAAGATATCTTTTTTCAGTCCTAGAAATATGCAGGATGAAACAAGCAAATGGAACACATTCAGTATCCGCATGTTTCGACATGTCAAAATACTTATACCCGTAACTCAGTGATTTTTTAGTTGACACAGTGCTGCGCAAATGGCTGGGTGCGCCAACTGAACGCACTTATTTTGACAAAGTGATCAAAGGTTATTCATAAAAATGTAATCGACCATTTTCATGTAAAAATTTCAGTCTCTGGTCTCGTAAAGCTTAAATCCGCTTTAATAAATAAGTTATCTCATTTACCAATGAGTAGCAACTCATTAACTCCGTGAGCGGCAACAACTCAAAAGCGCAAATCAGCTCAATGTTGCTGAGGCCTACTGCTGTTCATGGTTTGCAGAAAATTTGTACAGGCTAATCACCGAGTCATACAAACCATATCAAATGCACTTTTATTATTAATGGATGGAGCTTATTATGTAGTACCACTTCAACATGTCTTATCAACTTTGGCAAACTTATATCCTGATCAAGAGAACCTGAAGTCTTGTGATATGGTTCCAGCAGATTGGAGCACCACCACATCGCTATATTAATGTCCGACTGTACTTTTTTCCAAATCGGTGGATCGGTAGGCGATGTTTGCCGGAATAGCCAGCACTATCACCTGATTTTAAGTCATGAGATTAAAAGAAAATTTATTGGGCTTAAGAAATTAATATAATTTTAGCAGATTTTAGTTTGTTGTAAGAAATAACATACATTTCCTTTTCACAATTATTTTTATTTCGGACAAGATCGCACAGTTTTTTATTAACCTACTTTTTATTTATAGACGATTTTGTCTCATTAGTCAATTAAATGAAATTTGCAAAATAGCGCTATAATAAAACCATGACTTATGAAGATAATCAATGTCGACACTGCAATATTATAATGAGTTATCCAATTCGAGGTTGGGAAAGTAATGCCTTGCTATTTAAAATCTGTCAAAGGCAAACGTCATCCGAAGCGTTTTTGTTTTAATTGAAGGTTTGCCATTTTGGAATTTGGATCGTTTAGCTGTCAAAGAACGCGTAAAAATTCTTAATTGTTACTATAAAAATGGTGATTCTGCTGAATTAACGTTTACGGCTTTACGAGCAGATTACAGTCAACATAATCGACTCACAACGTTGAATCTTTACATTGAATTAAAGTTTCGTGTCCGTCTGAATATTTTGTGTGTTTTTATTAATTTACTTTCCCAAGCAAAAAATGAATAATCCTGTACAAGGTCGCGTTTATGAATCGAAACGGTGAATTATTTTCTAAACTAATATACCTAGAAAAAATGATTAATACAAAAATTGTAAGGAATTTTATTTTAATATTATTTACATAAAGAAAAATTTAGTATACAGGATTAGTCATAAAGTCACAGCAACGCAATGTTACCTTTTTTCTAATAGTACACTCCATATTTTATTCAACAATTGAATTTTTGTCCACGTCCACGAGATATCCAGTTCTCAAAATTGAATTGAAAAATGTGTTGATGTAATTTGCCAAATTATGAAATAAAATATGAAAACATTGTTTATCAAGTTATCATATAATGTTTAGGTCACTATAACAACGTGGAGTCATCATTCTTTTGTTCTAAACAGTTAATCTCTAATTGATACGATTGTCAAAAATTCATTTTATATGGATTATTTCAGCTTTAAAATGTCACGTTTAAGTGAAATTGAGCGTATTGATATATTAATAGAATATTATATTTTGGACGCCAAGTACTAACATATATCCATGAAACATTTCCTGAGAAATGAATTGATCGCAGGCAACACTTTGAGAGTTGCAAGATAGAAAAACTCACGAAATTGCCGGCATTCCTCGTAATATCTTTATTTATTAGAAAATTTAGTTCAGCGACTTCATTACTATCAAGAAAACGGTGCGCATCTTGATCACTTTTTAAAATAAAATTTCAGTTTATTCCTGGCAATCAATCACCTTATCTTGTTTATAAATTTTGTCTATTTTTCATTCACTATTCCTGTTTGTGCAGAATTTAAAGTACGAAATATAATAATTTTGCGAAATACAGCAACCACAATTTTAACAACTCGAGATATTCAAAACTAGATTTTTCTTTATGTAAATAGACTGGAAAGAACCTTTCAATTTTCGTGTCAATCATTTTGTTCTAGCTCAGGAAATAATCCACCGTTTCCATACATAAAAGCGACCCTGTATATAAAGAACATGTTAGCTAACGAATTTCTTATACTTTTAGATTGGAGTTAATGGATATGCATTTATAATTACCAACAACGGATATATATTGATGCACCCTGAACATCGAACTGAGGTTGTTACTTCAAAAACTTCAAAAACTTATGTTTTTCACACATTCAACAATATTCTTTTTAGTTTGAAAATATACTAAAACCCACGTTCAATAGGGTTGACATTTTGGAAACTGAAATTCTAGACGATAACAATGAACCTAGAATATTCGGGGCAGAAATTGTCAAGGTATGTCTCAGTAGAACTTCTTAAAACATATTTTAACCCCTAATAAATATATGCGATTTAAGGGCCTGTTTGATTATCCAGGTTATATTGTATTTCGAAACCTCAATTTTAACGAACCTGTGTTTTCCTAGCTACGCGAACGAATGCTGGAAAGACATGATAAGCAAGCCACATTAAATATTAAATATACTCTAGATGATATGGTGAGATAGACATATGTACATGTCAGTGTTAAGTTATAAATGCTGAAATTTTATAACATTTCAGAAAAGAATTATACGTGCAACCAGGCATTACTATTATACAGAAATAGGGCCGTTTACGCTATGTATAGTTTTGCCAGATGAGTATGGACATGTAAAAATCAATAAAGCTAACGCTTCATCTCATTTACATAATCCTCCTCCGGAGATCATTATGGATAACGACAATTGGGCAGTACACCCTGATTGGTAGGTCACATTTACTTTATTAGTACTAGCATTAAGAAAATGAAATGAAAATGAGCATTTCAATGACATTGAATATTTCAATAGTTCTACATTATTGGAAGACTCGATTGCAGGCCCACTTAAAAATTATTTATTTTATTATCATTACTACAATAATCGAGTGAACAATGGATCTGCGTTATGCAGCTGACGGAAGAGGATGAAAGGCGAGTATCCGGCGTCTAAAAACCGGAACTTTTTGGATAAGGGAATGAACCCCAATTCTGGTCCACCATCTCTAAGATGTTGACCGGAAAGTTAACTATCTGCCCTCGTAGAAGAGGAGTCATGGAAGCTGCACGTATGCCTAGGAATCAGACTGGCCAGATGGATCTAAACTCAAGAGACAAAAATTGCAACGAAAACCGATTATGAACATTGGAACATGGAATGTACAGAGCTGGTACAAAACGGGAGCTCCTAACAGTGCCATACAACAACCAGAAAAAATAGAAGTTGAGATAGTGGCGGTACATGAGATTAGATGGCATGATAGCAGAAGCCTCAACATAAGTAAGTCTGTGGCATTTTTAGTGGAAATCAGAATGGGCGGCATGGGTATGGAATTGGTTTCGACGTAAACGAGCAATTTGAAACAGTGTTTTGCGCTTTGAACTCATAAATGATGCTACATACGAATAAAGTCACAATGGTATAACATATCCTTATTATCAGTATATGCCCATACAAGAAGACAGGGACAAAGTCGCTAAGGAATCCTTGTACGAGATGCTTAAGAACAGTAGAAAGCCTGCCCTAACAGGATATGATATTGCTATGTGGGGATTTCATTGCAAAAATAGACAAAGAACCAAGTTTAAGGCCGACAATAGGTCAACATATCTTTCACAATATATCAAACGACAACGGACAAGACTAATAGCATTAGCATCATCTGTTCAATATGTAGTGTAGGATCTCAATATTCCCTCACAGACTCCATAAACAAACTTGGATGAACAGATTCACCATGTCGTGGTGGACGCCAGATATAGTAGCAGTGTCCTAGATGTAAGAAGAGGACCTGAGAGGAGTAGACGGAGATACAGATGATTTTCTGGTAAAAGCCAAATTCAAAATCACAATATCGAGTCACAAAAAACAAAAACTAATCAAACCGCACAATGTAACATAGGGAAAACATAAACTCATTGAGAATGTAAATCGTACACTAAATGTTGAAGGTTTGTGGAGCTATGTTGAAGAAACGAGAAAAATTACAGCTGAAGAAATCATCGGGACAACCAAAAAGAAAACGACTCAATCATGGCTTAATGAAGTGTGTCAACAAAAACTGCAAGAAAGAGAAACTTTTAGAAGAGCGATGATTCAGCACGATACTCCTGAAAATCGAGAAAAATATGCAAACTACCCTAAAGAAACTAGGAAGCTCATAAAGAGCCAAAAACATCAATGTGAACGTCGAAAATGCGAGAAAAGCGGCCAAATATGAAACCCGATGAAGAACACATTGAAAATACATACCACATAGCCCTGTAGAAAAACCATCCAAAGAACAAATTCGAAAGGTAGTAATAAAATTAAAAACTCAAAGGCTCCTGTATCGGATAACATACCATTAGAACCATTGAATGACAGAGGTAAATCGTTATACATACAATTACACTAACTAATTAGTTTGATATGGATAGAGGGCTCAATACCAACAAAATAGCAAGAAAGGATCATAATACCAATCCACAAAAACGTGACAAGTCAAAGTATTAAGACTACAGGGAAATCTCACTCATTAGTACCGTTTGCAAAGTCCTGACCCATATTGTTCTGGATAGAATAACTTCATAGTAAGAGAGCTTGCTGGGGAATATAAGGAGGATTTCAGGAAATTTAGATCCACTTTACACTCAGTCTACAACTAGAGATGGGAGTTCAACAGTACTGTCCATAATCTATTCATATATTTTCGGCATGCAAACGACAGCTTTGAAAGGTCCCAGAGTGGAATGCAATGGGGGAATTCGCAATCCCAAAAAAACTCATTCAGATCACGAAAGTATGTATGAAAGATGAAAAACTCAGAGTGCGAATAAACAACAGGCTCTCAGATGGTTTTGAAATACGTAGCACATTAAAACAGGGATATGTAAGCAGGGACTTGTAGCCTATAATCTTTAATATTGCACCAGCGAAAGCTACGAGGTCGGCAGAAATTTAAACAGAACTCCTGACTGCACGAGGCTCAAAAGTATTGTTATCATATGCAGATGACATTGACATGATCATTGGAGACCCCACGCCAACAGTAAAATATATCTTTAATGTCGCAGAGGAAATAAAAGGCAGAATTCAAGCCATAAATCCATGGCTCTTCTCTATAAAAAACTTTTTGCATGTCCAAAAGCATCTCAAAACCTCAAAAGTGAGAGTCTAGAAAAGAAAAGAAAATTGCTAAGGTTAATGCAGAAGAAGGAGAAGAAGAAAGGGGGGTCCCACCTCCCACGTACCACTGACAGCTCCTGAAGGGAACTGAAAGTGCCCCCGATTAGGGTTGGAAAGGGCTTGGAGATTGGATCGAGAGTCAGCAACAATGATTGTGATGGAAAAAAGAAAAAGAAAAGATGAAATTTTGTACTGAACTTAAAAGGATTCGTCTCTTTCAATCTTGTGTGACTTACTTCCATTAATTAGTGCATTATGGGAGATAGGGTCCACCTCGTAGCGGGTTTCCCCAGGAGGTTCCAAATACCCTTCTTTTTATTCTAAATGAATGTGCAATGTTCTTACTGTGCATAAAATGAAATTGATATTTGAACTCTGCCTAATTATTGCAAATAAGTGGATAAAACGAATTCTTTTAGTCTTAACATATATTTATTTCCTTAACTTATGTTACTGTTTTGCAATGGGCATCACCTGACGAACTCAGCCAGAAAATCGAGTTGTCCAATGTCCGATAGGAGCTCCAAGCCGAGGTTTGGTCCCATCTTATGGTGAGCCTCTGAGGGAAAGACTCTTGACGTGTTATCGTCTCGTAGTAGCTTCCAGCCATTAAAGTGCCTCTCCAAAATATTGTTTATCTAAAGTCTTCGACCCTGGTAACGTTTGCAAGAGAAGATCCTGTGTATTGGTTCGTCTTTCTCCATATTCTCGCAATGTTCACATGTGGCGGTAGTGTGTTTGCCTATACGCTGATAGTGTATCCTAAATTGTCCATGTCCTGTCAACATTTGGATGGTTCTCTTATTACAGTTAACATTAAAATTCTGTCTAATGTGCATTTTTTCTGTCTCTGCATTGCGCTATTGGTCTTGCCATATGTTAATGGTTCTTTCTCTTAGTTGCTCCTTTAACCCTCTTCTACTTAACCTGGGTTGTTCCTCTAGGTGCCATTCACCTCTTCGGACTTCTTGACTTCTTAAGTATTTCCGTTGATTTAGAAACTCAAATATAAGTTTCTCTATCGGAGGAATGTTGGCTAGAACAACAGCAACTTATGTCGATGTAGTACTGTAGGCTCCAATGATGGCCCTCGAAATAAGGCTAATGAAGAAAAACTTACGGGTTTCCAATCAAAAATTCTAAGAACTATTTTTCGTTCCCACCACGACCCTAATTTAATAACCAACCAGCATCGCATCAGGACGATCGCGGAGACTAATCAGCTTTATGGTGACGGGGTTATAGAAAATTGGACCAATAAATTAAGTCCCAGAGCTTAAGATGCTATGGGCATGTCCATAGACTATTAAACGACAGACTGACGAGACTGGTATGGGAGGAGAGACCGTCGGAAAAAATGATACGTGCGACACACGCCACAGATGGAAGGACAACATCAAAGCAGATCTGACAAAAATGAATACTCCTATGGACATGAATCTTTTGGAGAACAGGGAGACCTGGAGAAACATAGTGCAGTCAGCCATGACCCATCCTGGGTTGTAGATTGTAGACATACCTTGTATCGCATTGCACAATAATCGAGTGTTAAAGTGATATTGTTTAATTTATTTTGGTTGCTGCTTACAATATGGGTGGAAAAGTTAATTTTTGACGAAAGCGTGAACAAATGTATAGACTTTAAAAATATTCTATTGACACATATATTTTTTATTATTTGAACTCAATTTTTTTGAAATACAGCTCTTATTATTTTACAGGATTTACTGCAAAAATTGTCATCGTTCAAAACGAACGCCACGCGAAAAAGTCGAGCATGCATATTATCATCCAACTTATCGTAAGTCAATGAAGATGACTTAAAATTTCATTCACATTTATTGCCATTTATTTTAGGAACTTCATTATATAATGATTTGATGTATGACATGAACAAAACATCCTGGTTTCAAAACGAAATTCCCAATGAAAACCGGTAAATTGAATAACGATAGAGTTAAATTAGAAATATGGCATTTTATTTTTAAAGGTTTATTGAACCATATTATGTTCATAAGATATTCGTTTCAACTGGTTCAGGATTAACAAGATGGAAAACTTTCAATAGTGACACATATCAAAATATTTATGGAGAAGCTGAACCTGCAAATGATCGATCTACTGACGAAGACTGGTATCAAAGAACAGTGGAAGAAAACTTCAAAAATGAAGATATGTTTATTTATTCTGTTCCATTTGAGATATCAGGAAAGTATATAATTAGGTTATACAGGGTGATTTAAAATTGGCGTCATTCCTCTTGAGGTGTTGTCTGGCGCTGTTATAGGAGTACAGAAAAAATAGTAAAGGAAATTAATTGTTATTAAAAACTGAGAAATTTGCAAAAAACTATATCAGAAATACGGCAGCAATGTTTTTCAAGGTAATCTGCCTAATAAGCATTGCGCAAATACCTGTTGCTTCGTAATTATTTAAAACTCCGGTAACCATGGAATTATACAGACTGACAATAAGATAGACAAGGATAAACGGTAAATTCAACAAGATTTGTTGACGAAATGTCAACCTGTTCTCATAACCTCGAATATTGGTGTTTCAAAATAGACCATATAACACCAAACATTTAAATGGTTAACTCCAAACAAGCTAGTGCCTGTGTAATCACCTTATTATCCACTCTTATCAAGCAGCTTCTCGTATTCAGTTAATTAACTCCTGCTCCATTTGTATCCCCTTGTGCTGTGTGTATCGTACACACGTGGTAGCAACGTAGCCCTTGCTCGGTATTTATTTGGTACTTGGGAAAGTGTCAGTTATTGTGCTCTGAGTGCTCCTGGAAGGCCCTAATTCGGTTATGTCCAATACGTGTTCCTCTGTGCCTGGAACCCGAAAATTGATTGTTGTCCACTATATTCCTGGAACCACTCTTCTCGCCCTTTGTTGGCGTAAGTTCTTTCAGTTTCTGCTAAGTTACTGTAGCATTTCCCCTGAACTAATCGCGTATCCGCATATTCGTAAAAGGAAATTCAAAGTAAGTCACAGTTTGAAGAATTATTGTTATTATTGACAAGGGCTATCCACCTGTAACTATCTGTTAATGACAAAAAACATCATTGCCGCTGTGCCTTTTTATCAAAAAATTGTAGAAGAGAACTTTTTTGATATAAAATATTTTTGTAATTTGAAGCAAAAATGGTAATTTTTCTTTTTGAATGCTTAAGTACTACAATATGCTACCAATTAAACATGGGGCAATTTAAAAATAATGCTTAATAACAAAGTTGAAATTCGATCTTCAACTGTTAATATATTCTAGAAATTTTCGAAAAATGTTTTTTCAATATTTTTCTCGTACTCCCCAAGGGAGCCTCTCACTCCTTAAAAGGAATGATGCCAATTTTGAATCACCCTGTATTTAGGTATATATTTAGGTGTTAAATTCCAGCCCCGGGCTAATATTAGCCCGATGGGGCTCGTAAAGCTTTAATCCGCCCTTGGGCTAAATACTAAGCGCAATTCACAATTTGTAACGAAACATGCGCTACAAGTTCAGAGTTGTGCGTTCAGTAGAGAAGAGTGTGCTTTAAATGTCGTCAAAATTTCGAAGTTCACTCATGGTGATGACAACTTTTGAATTAAAAAATTCAAACAGTTATTGAAGTCACATGAGATGCTAAATTTTACGCGTTTGGTATATGTTGATTTGAAAATGAACGCTTTTACGCAACTGTAAACTCTTCAAAAATGTCAACTTCCAAAGTAAAGTTAGTAGAAACTTGAAAGATTGACATTCTGTAGAAGACGCTTTTTATTACAAATATACCAGCATTTTCTCACACACGTTGTCCAAGCTGAATCAAATTTCCAATTCTCTATTCAATGATACAAAAACAAACTTTGTGGCTCAAACGGTTCTTCGATTTCGCATTTAAAACAAAAAAAATCTAAAACTTTTTGCCAGAAAACATAAAACTGGAACCCAAAATCTACATCTGAAGCGGTTCTTTAAAGAAAACCTTCAGTATGAGTTTCTCATAAAAATACAAAAACAGCCAAAATATTGCCAAAGTTTAAAAATTAGCTAGGAAAGAACCAATAGCTCAATCGATACCAAATTCATCCTACGAGTCAGTTGATAAATATGGGACTAAAAGTTCTAAATGTACTTGGCAACTAGGGGCAAAGTAATTATGCTAAGCTTACCTGCCGAAAGTTGCGTCGTGCCACCTGAAAGGTAGAAGAAAATGTATTGATACAGATAAATGTATACAGCAGTTAATCTGTCCAAAGCAAAACTTATTTCAAATCAGCGAAGCAAAGAGAGAGAAATATAAAGAATCCATAAAACTTCAGTTGCTTGTCGGAAAACCAAACTCAGTTCAAGGTAGAGGATGTATAAATTAGATGTCATTCATACCAGCTTTCTGCAAGCAGGCGCCCCATCCTCCATTTTCTTTCCATTATTCCTTAAAAAGTTCACTGCACTTTCACATACTACCGCACTTAACACGCACATCTAAGAACGCGATTCACACAGCACTCACGCTAGCAAGCTGAATACTCATATGCCTTTTCTAAAACAGGCACTAAAGTACAGAATAAACATGATTATTTAATAATGTGCTTGTTCGCCATTTTGGTGATTCATTGCGTTACTCTTGCTTGGCAGTTCGATTTCAGTTTGTTTATTGTCGACATTTTTGCAGAAAGTGCCTGTTCGCACGGAAATACTTCCAAGGGCAAATTTCACGTTTCGACTTAACGAAAGTCAACAACAATTAAACGAAAAACGCTCCAAGCGCCGATCTTTCACTCATTTTATTTTAAATTCAGAGCCGTTTATATTTCTCCGAATTTCATTCAGCTGTAGTGATTAATGCACAACGCCAAAACTAAATATAATAATCGAATTATTTTTCTTCTAAAAATATTGACTAAACCAAAAACCGCGAAGAAAAACAAACGATGTTTGAACTAATTCAAAATATCTTTTAAAAGTTCTGATTTCAAGCATTAATCAAAATTTACAATGGAGCTTAATTTTACTATCTTAAGTATGATATTAGTTATCTAGTTATGATCATTTTTTCTCTTTTCCATTATATTTTTATAATTATTGTTAATACATAGTGTCCGCTGGTTTATTGCTTCATCTGCCAGCGTCAGATTTCATGCCCTAATTAGTCAAAATATGTCATTTAATGCTCTATCAAGTGCTTCAGCTCAATCAGAAAGTAGGAGAATGTTTCTGTCTAATCTTTTATATAATAAAATTGAGTTCTATATTCGTTTTCCTGTTTCTCGCCGGGTTCGTCATCGTTTGGGCTGAATAATAGCTAAAGAGCCCGTGAGATGTAAACTCGCACTCGATAATAATTTAGTACAGCAGGTAATTGAGTTTAACTACCTGGAAGTGCAAATAACCTCCAGAGTCCAAGCAAACAAGGCTAACAGGATAGCAGGTGCTTTACGAGACCTAGTATGGAACAACAAACACATAGGGAAACAGGCTAAAACTAAGATCTATAAAACTTGCGTACGACCCGTACTGACATACGCGACAGAAACCAGCCGAACCAAAAATATCCTGCGAACAACTGAAATGAAAGTACTTAGGAATATAGCAGGATACACTCCTTAGGCTTCTGTCTCTTAAGACAGGAGAAGGAACACTGACATAAGAAACGAGTGCGAGATCGAGGACATAGTCAGATGGGGACGGGAGCGTCGTAGAGCCTGAAATTACCACGTCTCTAGAATGAATATGGACAGGGTAGCAAAAATTGCTCGAGACGGGTTTCCAGCCGACCACTGGGTTTCAAGTTTTTCCTTGTGAAGTAACCAAGAGGTCAATGGAGCCAAATTCACACTATAACTAAGCTGACTCTTTGCCTGACAGAGAATACGCTTCTCTATACTTGTGACAATTTCCACTTTTTTTGAACATTTGGCCAAAAAATGTGATGACCTTTTTTACGTGTTAAAATTCAATTCCGTAATTTGTAAAGCCTTAATTCACTCTTGTGTTAAATGCTAAGCGCAATTCAAAGTGCGGCGCAGTGAGACTCGATAAGGTATAACTCATTAGCACAGAGCGCTAACAACTCAAAAGCCAACTCAATACTTTTTACCCATGCTTAATAATGGCTAAACTGGTATTTAGATAAGGCGATTAAGTTCGTTTTGCTATTTTTCAGAATTGTTAATTTAAATATTTTTGTGTTCCCTTTGACCTTTAATATCCTCAGCTAATTATTCTAAATAATTTCTTATTGCATGAAGATACGATACAGAATTGTAACGATAGGTTGACTTACTCTGATGACCTCTGTGTTTGCATCTTCTGTCCATAACGATTGTACTGATATATTTTGTACTGTTTTATTATATTTTTAAAATGTTTCACCATTGTTGACTGTACTGTACGTACTTTATGTTGTAGTATTCTGTTTCGTTTTTTTACTCGCTTTGTCCATAAAATTTGTGAATTTTTCCGTGGCAATAAAGCATATTTTGATTTGATTTGAGATAAATGACTAAGGGCCGTTTGCACCGTTTTATATGAAAGCCAAGCTTACATAAACCAACCTTAAAAATTAAGCTCGGCTTCAAAGTAAACGGCTTGCACCGTACCAATCTGTTGTTGGCTTTGTTAAGCCGGTGTCAAGCAGTATCTGTTTGCCATATGTGGAATTATGACCGTTTGCTGCCATGATGCAATGAATAGAGAATGCAAAGATCGAGGGATTAACCTCAGTTTAGAACACGTTTAAGACAAGGTTCCTAAATTGTACAATTTAGGAACCTTGCGTTTAGAGTGTTTTCCAACTCAACGTTCATATTTTGAATAGATCTGTTTTTTAACCATTTTTTATTTTATATAAGTATTGAAATTTTATTTTGTGCTGACTAAAATTTTAACGCAAATTTTTGAAATAATTAATGAATTGTTGTAGTGTAGTGTTGCGGTGAAGATTATTTATGGTTTCATTTTGCAATTGACCAATATCAATTAAATAATCCAATTAATTTATATTTGTGGTGGTTTTGTAGAACCCAAATATTTTTTTAAAAGTTAGTAGGTCTTCCAAGTCCTCCAATGGATTATTTCTGTTATATATCGTCTTTGGAAATCCAAATTCGATTATCTCAAAGATGTCCAGATCGTCTTCGAATATGTCAAAACAAGCTTTGATAACCATTGTTTTTGTTTGTTATCGTAATTGCCAATTTTGTTAACTATCGCCACATGTACGAGGAAGGAGAACGAAGGTTAGAATTTACGGCTTAACACCATAAGCCACCAAAGTGGCGGCTTAATTTAAGCCGAGCTTTGAATTATGGAATTTAAGCCTGGTTTATAATGTGGGGCAAACAAATTTTATTTTAAAGCTGAGCTTAATGGCAAAGCCAAGCTTATTTTCAACAGTGCAAACGGGCCTTAGACTTTCGGGAAAATTCACCGCTGTCTGCAATTTTCAGGAAATCCTATTTTTCGACAAATATGCGTTAAACAGCCCGGCAAAAAAACTAAAAATACAAACCGTTAAACCATCGTTAAGTGAAGCGGAGTGCAAATGGCTTTAAAAAGGTATCTCGTGTTATTTTACTGAAATTCTTGTGAGTCTATGTGTGTCTAAAAATTTAATAATTTTTGGTTTTGTATGCTACTAAATTTATAGCGCCATTCGGTCCTATACTACGTACTTTATTAATTATTTTGTATAATAACTGACATCATATTACTTTGCTATAATAATAGGATATGAAAACAACACGATGATTAGAGGAACAAAAGCCATATTTGTGGAAAAAGATCACGTTAAAACCCCGGTTGCTGTTGTTGGCTTAGAGTTTAACCACCAGGTTATGTACAAGCTATACAACAACATCACAACAAAGGTAATAAGAGCTGATTATTTACATTTTTATAAGTGTTCACAATTTGCCCAATGTAAATTAGAAATATTTGAAAACTTGAAACGGACATTTGTCAGATCTCCACAAAGCAAGAATACCTTATTTTCGACCTGGTTGCAAACAAATGTATATTACATATCATTACTCTTCTTATAGTGCGTCCAGCTCTAACGAGCCAAGCCTGAGGCGCGGAAAAATTATTTAAATGTTTCGGCAAAGCACCGACAGGTGATCGATTTTCTGTCGGTGTTTTAATAAAATATTAAAGGAATTTGTCACGGAACTACAAGTATCTTTAGAAGTACTTTTTTAATCAAATTGCCTTCACTGGTAATGCTATAAGTTAAACATACCTAAATAATCTAAACTTATTCAGATTTTACATTCCCTAAAATTTTGCATGCACATACGTGAAGCTTGAGTAAGTATTTTCCCAGACCACCAAAATTATATTTTTTTGTAGCACAGAGGAGGAAAAAGAAACAGAAAAATAACATGCGAATCATCGTATCTCAACTGCTTTATTCTCGATAACAATGCATATATTTTACTAAGTGATGAAATCGAATACACTGGACGATTTATTGGAGATATTCGTCCTGACATTATGTATTATTTAGTACAGGAGAATGTATTTGAATCTACAAGGTATTTAAATTTTTCTAAAAAATTGACCAAGTATGTTTGCGAATAAGGCTATGCAAAACCAAGGCATTTTTGTTATTATATACAGTATAATGTAGTCAACTTCGATTAACGTTAAAAAGAAAAAAAGGAAAAAGGTTTTTATTTGATGTGCATAAATAGCAAGTGATTTATAACAGTAGTGTTGATCAATTCGTATTTTCAAAATTGAAGGATGTTCGATTACCAAGCAACATGTCAAGTTGAACCACCCAAATTGGCCGATCCAGGAGATTCCAGGTACTTCAATAAGAAAAAGTCGACTAAAGAAGCGTTGAGAACAAACAGTTCGTCTAAAAAGATGCCTTTTATAAAGTCAGTAAGTGACGCCGCACAAATAAATCTAGCAGAAAGAATTAACTTATTTAATCTTCCAAGAAAATAGGCAAACTCAAACTTTATAAAAATTTTAGCTGCTTCTGAATGCTATAGAAGTAGGTAAATGGCTTTTGAAAATATGGATGTCGCAATTGGGATATGCTGATTCTGCTTTTGAAGACGTGGTAAAACAAGAAACCAAAATTTTTGAAACTCTACAAGTGAGAAAGACAGTGCCTACACCATGTGACCGAGAAATGTGGCTATTCACACTGAAAGATCAATTCGAACCCAGTCCCTACTATAATGTCAGCACAAAATTTAGTTGCAATTGGTAAGTATGCAATTAAGAAATTGCATTTATTTACAAGGTAGCGTATTAGAGTTTCGATGAGAAATTACATCTAAACCGCAAAGCTTATATAGATTTAAAATTAATTACAAATTAGCCCGGCCCTCCTCTGAAGTTGGTCCAAAGTATTGTGGGTCGAAACATGTATTTCAGTATCATTTGATAGCGTTCTAATGCATAATTTTCGAGATATGCAACGGCTTCTAGGCTTGCTGGCCAAACTGTATATTACAAAACTAGATAACTGTCATATGTAATTTTTAGGCCTTATGTAGTACAGAAAATTCCGAATAGTAATTTGGTATTTCTGGCTATATTCGCTAAGTGCTCGATGACGACATCAAACTCTTATAATCTCACACCAGAACCAACCAAGATTACTTACTACTCTCAGCAAGCGAAAGTTTCTTTGCCTTGCTATATTGCAACAATGAATAATTATACCCGAAAACCGTATATGAAATGTTACAAAAGAGATAAAAGGGTGAGTACATCAACTTTATTGATTGATATATTTCTATGCGTTATTATTTATTCTACATTCATATTTGGAATGAAAATCTACATAAACTCTCTATACATATATCGAACATAACCGACCTTTCTGCAAACTCTCTATGCAATGAAAAGCTCATTTCCTCTTAAAAATTACTTCGACATCGGGTTATACAGAGTGTCCCCTAAGATTATGATTAAAAGGTTACTTCGATATCCTTCGATCCGACGATCTGACCTAACGTTCTCGTATTCGGTTAATTAACTCTTGCTCAATTCATACTGCTGTTTGGTAGACCAGAGGTTTAATGTATCCTTGTGGTGTCTTATGTTACGTGAATTTTGAATTGCCATGTATAGCGAGAAAAATTTAGGGCAAACATTAGATCAATTGGAGGTCCTTTTAATAATGAATTTCGAAAAATGAAAAATAAATCAATGCTCAACTGGTTTTGGTGTTAATGAAATTTATGAGCTCATGCTCCACTGGTATCATTATGCCCAAATATTATTTTCCATTACTATTGCGCAATTCGGAGAAAATTGCAAAAATACTTTTCGATTTCTAGCTGCAATTCTCGTAGCAGTGTTTCTGATGCATCTTATGTGTTCCTACGTCCAATTCACTATTTATCCACACTCGCCCTTTATTAAATTTTTAGCTTCAAAGCTTCAGAATAATTAGTTCTTCTAACAAATCCGCTACTGCAGATACAAAATTTTGCCTCTTTGATTATTGTCGTATATATAGTGTTGGTGCATATGTGTAAGTGGATCGATGTCAACATCTACACAAGCTTTATCTACGTAAAACAGGAATATTCTAAATTACCATCTGCTGGAGCTGATAAACGGTGGTGTAAGACAGAAAAAACTAGTTAGCGATGTAAGCAAAAAACGTCTTCTTCTTATTCATTCTTGATTTTTGCCTGTTCATTATTCGTCAAAATGGCCTGTTCAATTATCGTTAACTTGCTTGAGGCTGTCGCGCCATCGTTTCCTGGGGCGCCCAACGTCTCTTCGTCCAATGGGGACTTGTCGCGAGCGATTCTCACAAATCTGTGGTGGTTCATCCTACTTATGTGCTCATTCCATTCCTTTTTCCTGTTTGCTACCCATTCATTAATGTTATTGACATTACAGGCTGTTCTAACATCCTCGCTTCTCTCTCTATCCAGCAGTGTCTCTCCGGTGATTCTACAGATTATTTTCATCTCAGCTGTCTCTACGAGTCTTTTGGATTTCGCTGTTTCTGGCCTGGTTTCTGCGGTATATGTCATCGCCGGCCTCGTGACGGTTCTGTAGATCGTCGATTTAGTGTCAGTTGCCATACTCTTACTGCACCATATGGCATTAAGTGAGCCAGCTATTCTAATTGATTTTGTTGTTTGATCTCTCACCTCTGCCTCAATATCCCCAAAGCCGGAAAGTTCCACGAAAATGTAGTAAAATTTCATTTTCTGATCGATTACTCTACCGTCAAGTTCCAGTTTGCATCCTAGAGGGGTTTTTGATGTTGCTTAGCATTTTGTTTTGGTCAGTGATATTTCCATATTTAGACACTTGGCTGTGAGGTTGAATAAGTGTAATAACCTTTGTAAGTCATCTTCACTTTCTGCAATGAGAGCGGCATCGTCAGCATAACACACTACTTTCGAACAACTTCGTACAATTTCTTCCATTATTAAATTGAAAAGGGTCGGACTCAGGGAGTCTTCCCGACGAATACCGCTACCCGCTGGTATTGGTTCTGTGAGGTCTCCTTCTATTTGTTCTCGTATTTTATTGTTTGTATATATGTTCTCTATGGTTTTAATGAGGTTGTGTGGGATTTGCCTGTTGTAAAGGAGATGCAGGACGTCTTTCAGTTGGACACGGTCAAATGCGCTAGTTAGATCAACAAAACATATAAACGCTGGCTTGTTGTATCCAATGGATTTCTCTACTTAATACGAACACGGCATCTGTGCAAAGTCTTCCCGATCTGAGTTCCTGTTGTTCGCCCGCCGACGATGTGAGATTGTTGATTTTATCAGACTATGAAGGCTTTCACGGCCGATTAAATCACATTTAGGAATGTTTTCCGGGCTTTGAAGCCGTGGTGTATGGGAATTTTATCCTGACGTTTCGTCCACAACTGCGGTGGATATTATCAAAGGCGATGAGACAGTGGGCGAAGTGATCTCCCGTGCTTTCCGACTAAGACTGATTCAACTGCTGGATTCCCCGTCGTATTTATGCAGCCCAGCCGTGTGTGCTCATGTGTGGGGGATGGGTGGGGGTTCCAACACCAAGTAAAAACCATTTTTAAACCAACTCGAACCATCCAACAGACTTTGAGATCGGCCAAGGACAAACGGGATCCTTTATCAGTACCAGGAGTCTACAGAGTTTAGCGCAGCTGTGGAAGAGCATACATTGGCACCACAAAACGAAGCATTAATACTTGGATCACGGAGCACAAACAAAGTTGCAGACTGGGACAAACAGAAAAATTAGCAGTAGTGGAGCCCGCACTGCTAGACGGCCACCAAATACGATTCGACGAAATGGACATTCTGCACCAATCTGAAAGATACTACCCGAGACTCACCAGAAGCCATCGAAATATTTAAACACCAAAACAATTTTAACAAAAAAGAAGAAATTACGGCACTCAATCCAGATTGGAAGCGCGGTTTGCGCCAAACAGCATGTGCACCGAAGCGTTGGAACTCCCACCCATCCCCCACGCATGAGCACATACGGCTGGGCTGCATAAATACGGCGGGGAATCTAGCAGTTGAATCTGCTCTCCCTGCGGACACAGTCTAAGAAGAAGACGTGGACCCCATGCGATGACCAGTTCCTGCACCACATCGAGGACCATGGGCTAATTATAAGTTAGT